AACTGCTGCGTGGCTCTACCACCGTTATTATAGTTAGTGTTAGGTTTTTTTATGTATAGTTATAGAAATATCGTCAGCATAGGGTGTACAGGATATTGCGTACACTTTGGTCCTAATATACTGCCTTGTGAAACACCTGAGTTATTTGCCCTAATCTCCGATCTATACATCACACTCTGACACCCATCATCTAGCCTCGGTACTTCCACAAACTGAGTCCTTTCACTGAGATAGCTCCTTATTCAATCATAGGCCGGTCCTCGCACACCATAACGCTCAAGCTTGTTAAGAAGAGTCCTATGATTGACAAAGTCAAAAGCCTTACTCATATCGAAAAGGATGGTGGATACGGGAACTCTGTTGCTCATATGAATCGATATTTTCTTAATAAGGGAGTAACAGGCCAGTGCTGTTGACCTTTCCTTGCGAAACTCAAATTGTTCCTCCCTAATTACGCAGTGTTTTGTGAAAAAAGAAATTAATCTGAACTGCATGACTTTTTTTCGAATATCTTTGACAAAACTGGGGTGAGTGCAATGGGTCTGTAGTTGTTTAAATTATGCCTCTCTCCGAGTTTAAATAGTGACTTGACTTGAAATTTACCCTCTTCAAAGCAACGATTCACAAAATGTGCCAGAAAAGGTGCCAACTCACTTGCGCAAGCTTTGGAACCTGTGGAATTTGTGTTGTTCAGAGTGTTTATCATTTTGATTATTTCATTTTCGTCGGTAGGGTTTATTTTAACCCAATTGTTTAATAGTTGAAGTAAATTCATACCTTTTTTAAGCTATCCAATTATTCAAATTCGTTTGAAATTTTTAAAAGTTTTTTTAGCCATCACACAATTGCATGTTGTAATATTTCCAAAGAAGATAAAAGTGGATGCTGTGTCCTATAAATATATACAGCTATTTTCGATTAGTAATAGTACTAGTACTCGATTAGTAGTTCGAGTAGTAGTTTATATTAATGACTTATCTTACTTGGTGTGAAATAACTATGATATAGTTTTATCACACTAGTTTAGCTAAACAATTGTTCAAGTAATGACGGTAATTCTTATTAATAATATCCTCCAGACTGAACAGCACGGCAACCAGTTTCAACTAAGACTGGCCATCTGTGCCAGAGTTGATTATAGTGAAAGTAGAAAGTGGTAGAAATATATGGTACGACCCTGATCAAATTTATAGGTGCTCGCTCGTTTCTGCTTTCGAGGGTCAATGGATCATTTAGAAATACGATTGAATGGAGACGAATGTAAAATGGGCGTTTCATCATACTGAATATTATAAGGTTGAAATAAATCTACAAAATGTATCAAAGTAATATTAATTTCGTACTAGATTTTCATATCTCGGTCTCATGAAGAATTTTTTTAAGGCTGTACGGCTTTAAAAACAGAGATTCTGTCTTCTTAGCTGCGGTGTAGTCCTCATAAATATTATGGATTTAGTAACATTATGTAAATGTAATAATTTTAGTACCTATACACAAGAGAAAATAATTTTATTTTATTTTATTTATTAAGGTGTACCAATGTTTGATTACACTGTATTTAACAAAATGGCTGAATAACTAACTTATGTGACTAAGTGTAACAATCGTTTAAGGTAAACACCACATGCATCGAGAAAGGTTATAAATACGAATAAAAAGAAGTATAATTACCTAATAATGAAAATAAGTATATGGTAAAAAAAAAAAAACTATAATTTATTTGTTGGTTTCAGACCAGGTTAAAGCTAGAACTTTCTTAATTATGGCAAATGAGTCGGCGTGAATGTCAACTAAGTCACTATGTCCATAGACCAATTTGCACAACCTTGGAATTGGGGAGTTTGCACCTAAGACAGATTTCCGAAATGACATGTCAAGCAAATTTATCCGATATTCCAGGGATAAAATTTTAAAGAATCTTAATCGTTTTTCATACATATAAGGCCGAATTTTTTTGTGAATCCCATTACGATAGGCCAAATTAGCTACGAATTTTTTTGTAGACGTTCCAATCGTAAGGAGTGTGTCACGTAGTGTGGCCTCCATACTACACTGCAATACTCAATTATGCTTCGTACGAGACTGTTGTACAGTATGATCTTAACGTGATTATTTTTAAACACTTTAGCGTTACGCAAAACAAAGCCTAGCATTCTATACGCCCTTTTTGTAATATTCTGTATGTGGGGAACGAAGGTTAATTTTTTATCAAACACTATTCCCAGGTGAACACTCTAACTTCTTCTGTTTTCTTAATGATGACGCCGTTAATTTTATACGTTGAATTCACTGACTTGATCTTTTTACTGAATTTCATATGGTAGCACTTGTTTATGTTCAGGTTCATACCATTCTCTCGACACCAATTAACCATACGATCAACATCACTTTGAAACCGTTCGATGTCCTCCAGAGTTTCGCAGATGCCAACCAATTTCAAATTATCGGCATACATAAATGGTATAGAGTACTGAAAGCAACTAGGGATGTCATTGATGAAGGTATTGAAAAGCAGAGGACCCAAATGTGATCTTTGAGGAACCCCTGACGTAATTTTGTATGGCGCAGATTTAAATCCATTAACGACCACGCTAAAACTACGATTATCCAGATACTATTCTAACCATCCCAATAATGAGCCAGTAATACCATATGCGCGCAATTTAGATATAAGAATATTATGAGGTACTTTGTCGAATGCTTTACTAAGGTCCGTATATATTACATCAACATCCCTACCTTCATCTACTGCTTTTACCAAAGTTTCAGTAAACAAAGTCACATTGGTATAGGTTAACCTAAACCTAACAAAACCGTGCTACCACTCAGTAAGATAATGATTCATATGTTTCTGCAGCACAGGATAGACAAGAGATTCAAAAATTTTACTTAAAGTTGACAGAATTGAAATAGGTCTATAATTATCAACAACTTCGACGTTATCAGCCTTGTGAATGGGAACAACTTTAGCGGACTTCCAAACATCTGGAAATAGGCCGGATAGACTTCTAAAAAATTAGATATATAGGCGTCACTAACTCATTCGCACATACTTTAATGAATAAAGAAGGGACACCATCTGGCCCTGAGCCCTTGTTATCGTCTAGGTACTTCATGCTATTCAGTATCTGATCCTTGTTAAGGTAGGGAGCAGTTAGTTCGAGGTTGTAATTGCAAAACAAATTCCATTGGTTGACATTCAACTCTGAGTTTATGTCATGGTGAGCATTATACATAGCACCAATGTAGGATACAAATAAGTCGCAGATTTCCCCAGGACTAGACGACTTCTTATTACCATCAGTAATTGTACAAGGATAATTACTTTTCCCGCCCTTCCTAGCCTTGATAAATAACCAAAAAAACTTTAGGAATTGACTTAATGTTATCTTCTATCTTCTTTATATAATTTTTATAAGTTTTATTTGCTAGTGTGCAGCAACGCTTACTAAGTAGCCGCAGCTTCACCTCGTCTATGGGATTCTTAAATTTTGTATACCGCTTTCTTATGTTCTCCTTTTCACGTAACATTCTCTTTAATGAAACATTAAATCAAGAAGGAGAAGAATTATTTCTTATTTTTTTATATGGCACATATTTGTTTATTAAATTATTAATTATATCATAAAATAAGTTTTTCATTTCATTACCACTCATGTCATGAAAAATTTCATCCCAATCGCATTCGGCTAAACAAAGGCGGATCTGAGCATAATCGGCTTTCTTAAAATTGTGTATTTTAGTTTCGACGTTATACGGTTGTGCAATATCAGTATTTATTTTCATTAATATTTCGAGAGGGGGTTGTAGAGGATCTACGACACTAAGAATATCAACTGATCCTGCTACTGTACACATGGATGACGATAGGTTGGTCAGTACAAGATCTAACAAGCGGTCTGATTTGTTAAGATCGTAATTAATTTGATTAAGCTTGTTAAGATGAACTAAATCTATCAAGGCTTGGCTTGGACTACGTGCAACATAGTTATTCGACAAATCATGTACCAAACTCCAATTTATATTACCTAAGTTAAAATCACCAATAAAGCACAGGTGTGAATCAAATTTTCTTGTTATGACTGAACTATAATTTTCTACAAAATATTCCAACATTAGCCTGTTCACCGGAAGTGGTAAGTAAACACCGCAAAGAGTTATTTGATGGACAGAGTTTTCTATTTTCAAATCAAAAATCACCCAAATGTCTTCACATTTACTTTCCCATTCAAACTACCGAACCGATTTGATTGTTTTTAATACCGCAACTAAGACTCCTCCCCCATCCTTACTATCATGAAACTTTCTCGGTCTCTTCTGTATATCACGTATCTGTCATCAAATAACTCATTGCTCATTATGCTACTATTAAGCCAGGTTTCAGTTAAAACTACATTATATAGTATTACATCATAATTATTACAATTGACTTCTCTTAAAAAGTTGTGAGTTTGCGTACGCAATCCACGAACGTTTTGATAATATATTCTTAGCTCTTCTAAAATGGGTAACATAGGGTGCATTCAAACTTTTATTAAAAATATAGAAATGAAAGTTAGTTTTGGAACTAAGGCAACTTGTCAAGTGTCTCTGTGTTTTTAATGATTTTAAATTCGGAGACTTCAGTCTTCCTCATGAAAATGCGACCACCTCTCACCCAGATATATTTATATCCGTTGTCCTTTGCCGCCTGTCTTGCTGCTGTATGGAGGGCCTTGTTGTGGGTAGAGAGATGCTCACATATAAAAATGGGAGTTTTAGCACCAGAAACACCAGCATGAGAACTGTTCAATTTTTCTTGAGGCTTCAGTTTATTATATTTGATCGCTGCTGCCAGGAATTTGTCCCTCATACTCGGCGAGTTAAATTGCACTACAACAGATCTAGGGCGACTGGAGTCTTTATTTAGTTTAGCAATACGTGTGTAGTGGGCTAAGTGTTCCGTAGATACTTAACAATGTATTATTTTGCCTAGTTCTGTCACGATGTGCAACAGGTTCTCATCTTTCCTCTGCGGCACACATTCTAGCGTTTTGTTCCATTTGATTAACTCCATTATACAAGTTATCAACCTTAGACTGCAGTGCACCGATTTTTGTCTCTAGGCGTTTAATTTTTTCATTGGCCTCTGCATGCTCCTTTGTGATAGATTCATATTTCGTATTCATGAAATTCATAGACTCTTTCATATCCACAATTTCCTCCTTCAAACATTTTAGTTCAGTACCTACGATGTCTGATATATTGGTGCGCATTGCCTTTTGGAATTGAGTCACTACGTCTTTGATAATTTCTTGCATCTCATACCTTGTTATTGGTCTTTCATCTGAAGCATTTGGTGGGGAGTTTAAAGCTTGCTTCCTTCCCGGCCTTACAGTTATATTCGGGTTGTAACGAACCGGGGTGTTATCATTATTACCTATTTTTTCCGTTCCACGGCATTGACGGCACAGCCAATTAGACGTGGCGGGATCGTCTTGATTGCTTGATAATGACAAACATTCAAGATGATAAACTTTGGTGCATTCTGTACATTGCATATAGTTTTGGTCCTGCAGACCAATCGAGCAACACCCCCAAACAAGGTTTTTGTGTCCTTTCGCTGCCATTTTAACTTTCAATTTCAATTATTTCCAATAAAAAAGATAATAGAAAAGAAAAATAAGAAAAAGAAAAAATAAATCTTCTTGTGATTCTATCTTGGGTCCTCCCGGAACAGAGCGTAAAAACTATCCACTACGCTGATAGTACATTAGTCGTAATGGTTGAAAATAGCATATAGTTTGGTACACACTCGGAGCGCGCGATCACACTAATGAGATCAAAGTCCAGTCTTTTGTGTTTCACTTTTAAAGTTATAATTCAAATGTCACAGTACAGTACAGTACATAAAATTCACTGAATCAATGTTTTCACTCCTTTTTATTTCAAATTTTATTCTTTAAATTACACTACACAAAGGCACTCAGTCTCCTGAACGTTTTATTATAAATTTACAACAAAAAAGGTAACTTTTGTCACCACTTGGAATAAAAATCTAAGAGCGCCAAGTAACACGTCTTTCTCATGTTAACATACGGTCATTCATTAATTTCAACCTTATTTTATCACCTATATTCAGCATTAATAACAAATTTAGTATAAGATATTTCTTTTTAGAGTGTAATGCACACACAAATGTATAAATTACCAGTTGTCTTCCCTTTTAAATCGAAATAATCCACAGCAACGGTGCACCGCTACTTGGTGATAGATATAGGTATCGTCTTTTTCTTTATGATGTTATATATTACTATCCTAGATAGTTTCCTATGGATTTAATAAAATACTTATTTTATGAATCGTGATACTTCACAGCTGGTATTATGAGAAAACTTAAAGTTACTCAGCATTAGCTAATATAAATATATGTAAATAGCTATTGCTGGAAAAATTTTCGCTTGATAAAACACGTAACGAGGACTTAATAGAAATCTTGTGATTTTATGACTTGTAATGATTATGACGATGAGATTTTTTAAAATTGCATTTTAATTTCAAAATCATGCGGAGAGGTCTCATGAACCTGGAATGCTTTTAGCTATAACACTAGAACAACCTATTTCGTAATACCATAAATTACAAAAGATGTACCTCAGTTGGTTGTCATGAATTTTTTTTCTAATTGCGAATTTCTGAAGTATAAAACCTATTTTCTTAATTTTTTCTGATTGACTTTGGCAATTTCGATAACATGAAATATTATAATTATATATAATTACAATATTCAAGGGAGGGGACAGAGACCACATCAGTAATTATAGGTCTATATTAATATTACCAGCTAAATCAAAAATACTTGAAAAATTAATTAATATACGACTTCTTAAATATTTAAATTCTTTCAATATATTATCTCCTTATTAGTTTGGTTTTAGGAATGGCAAATCTAATGAGGATGCAGTTGCTCGTATGACGTCACTGGTGGTTGATGACTTAGATAAAAGACAAAAATGCTTAACTGGGTACTTAGATCTCATGAAAGCGTTTGACACTGTTTCTGTCCCCCTACTCTTATATAAACTTGAAAAAGTCGGAATAAGAGGTACTGCCCTAAAATTTTTTAGATACTACCTCTGCAATAGAAATCAACGTGTAAAAGTAGACCAGTTTATTAGTGACGACGCGACTATATCATATAGTGCGCCACAGGGCAGTATGTTGGGGCCTTCCTTGTTTCTGCTTTACATAAATGATTTATGAAACTTAAAAATAGTTTTTTAATAATATATTTATAAATTAATTATAGATAAACTTAAATAATTTCGTATGTTGAAGACACAGCAGTTATCTTTAAAGGTAAATCATGGCAAGAACTTAAGGAAAGGGCAGAATTTGGAATGTCCCAGGTGGCAAAATGGTTAAATTTGAATGAAACTAATTTTACGGATTTTATCGCGTATATTAACTTATTTTACATTCCCGACGTTTCAAGCACTTTACAGCACCCATGGTCACTGGGGGGACTGAGGTGTATGACGTCCCAATGTCATAGCTAACCACGGCTACCTCCAGATTAAAAATTACATACATAACATACATAATACATAAACACTCACGCCTGTCACCCAGAGGGGTAGGCAGAGATTATGGACTTCCATTTGGCACGATCCTGACACACCTCTCTCGCTTCCTCCACATCCATATACCTACGCATACACGCTCGTCGGTTAAAGGTGCTCTTGATTTGGCCCATTTTTAATATATCGCCAATTTGGTCCTTAAACTTGCGCCTAGGGCGACCCTTCCTGACTATGCCGTTCACCTAAAAATTATTAATTTTAACACCTTGAGCCACACTGTGTATAGAAAAAAGACCCATACAGATAGATATTTAAACGGTGATTCTCACCCCCATCCTTCACAGTTAGCTACCGTGGGTAAATCTTTGTTTCAGAGAGCACGAGGGATCTGTGACAGTAAACACCTGGCCGCCGAGCTCCAACACGTCAAGCAAGCTTTGCACGACAATAAGCTTCAGGTCACGCGCCTACGTCACAGGGAACGAGTGAAGGCGGCCACAGTCGAGCGAGTGCATGCTGTACTGCCATATGTCAGAGGTGTTACTGACAAGATTGGCTACATCTTGAAGCGTGCTTCCATTAAAACCTATTTCAAGCCGCCGAAGAAGATTAGTTCGTTTTTACCATCAGTCAAGTGTAATATTCCTCTGCAAGATGCAGAAGTGTACAAGCTGGATTGTGAATGTGGTCTCTCTTATATAGGACAAATTAAAAGATCCATAAAAACCGGCGTTACAGAAAACATAGCTGATGTGAAGAATAGACGCTACGGGAAGTCTGCAGTCTGTGAACATGTACAGGATCGCCCCCGTCACTACATTAGATTTGATAGACCACAAATCCTCGCTAAAGAACACCGATTCCTTCCAAGGATGATTCGCGAGGTTATTGAAATAAAAAAACATCCTAATTTCAATAGAGAAGATGGCTGGGTGCTACCATCTACTTGGGATCCCATAATTAATAAAATTAAATCCCAACCCAAGCATACAACTGCAAGACTTCATGATACTGTAAGTTCATACTGCGTAGATCGGAACAAAAAATAATAATTTGTAATCTGGAGGTAGCCGTGGTTAACTATGACATTGGGACGTCATACACCTCAGTCCCCCACGTGACCATGGGTGCTGTAAAGTGCTTGAAACGTCGGAAATGTAAAATAAAATAATATACGCGATAAAATCCGTAAAATTAATTTTATTTAAATGTGTAGTGTTCGCGTAAATATAAGAAATCATTATGGTTAAATTTGAATTTACTTACCCTTAACGCAGGAAAAATTAATTATATCTGTTTAGTATATCCAAACGTACGCAACCCTCGGAAGATTTCAATATAATAATTCATACATGGAACAACATAAACAATTACGCCTCTAATAATAACTGTCCTTTTAGAAATAAAGTAACATATACACAATATTTAGGTGTAATAATAGACCAGAAATTGTCATAGAATGCTCACATAGAACACATGTCTAACAGAATTGCTTAATTAAATAGGATATTTCGTACCTTAAGACATGTGGTGCCAAGAAAAGCGTCCACAGAACTTACGCAAAATAAATTATTAAACAATATATACACAGCTTTGGTACAATCCGTTTTAAGGTACTGTATATCTATTTGGGGGGGGGTGCTTACAAAACAAAATTTGTCCACTTGGAACGTGCACAACGAGGTTTTATTATATGTATTTTAAAAACAGAAGATATCCAACTACAAGTATTTACAATGAAACAGTTATTATCAGTACGAAAAATTTATGTACTGCATACAATATTGAAGAAACTTAAGTCCCTATCTTTTAAGTGGCACAAGTTCCAAATACTCACACTTTTTTTGCTAGAGATCATTATAGTAAACGCGCAGCAAAATTAAACAACAAAATTAATAAACATGTAGGAATTTACACAATGACCCATTTTGAATGTAAAAATGCAGTAAAAAAGTATTTCATCATCATCATTTCAGCCCTTCACAAGTCCACTGCTGAACATAGGCGTCCCCCAAAGAATGCCACAAAGCACGGTCCTGAGCCACCTGCATCCATCGACTTCCTGCATATCTTACCAGGTCGTCACTCCATCTCGTGGGGGGCCGCCCTACACTTCGCCTACCGGTACGAGGCCGCCACTCGAGAACCTTTCTTCCCCATCGGTTGTCGGTTCTTCGAGCTATATGGCCAGCCCACTGCCACTTCACCTTACTAATCCGTTGGGCTATGTCGGTTACTCTGGTTCTACTGCGGATATCCTCATTCCTAAGTTTATCACGCAGAGAAACTCCGAGCATAGCCCTCTCCATAGCTCGCTGAGCGACCTTGAGCTTTCTCATCCGGCCAGCAGTGAAGGACCACGTCTCAGTTCCGTAAGTCATCACTGGCAACACGCACTGGTTGTACAATTTCGTTTTAAGCTTTTGAGGTATGTCTGACGAGAAGATGTGTCTTAGCTTCCCGAACGCTGCCCAGCCGAATTGAATCCGTCGATTGACCTCTCGGTCGAAGTTGGACTTACCTAGTCGGACTTTTTGTCCCAGGTAAACATACTCGTCAACAACTTCGAGCTTAGTGTTCCCAACAACTACCGGCATAGGTGTGACATGGACATTAAACATGATCTTTGTTTTGTCCATGTTCATCTTAAGACCTATCCGTTGGGAAACACTATTGAGGTCATTGAGCATAGTGCTTAGGTCCTCCAGCGATTCTGCCATAAGGACTATATCGTCGGCAAATCGAAGGTAATCGATGTACTCGCCATTGATGTTGATACCGTATCCTTTCCAGTCCAGAAGCTTGAAAACGTCTTCCAATGCAGCGGTGAAGAGTTTCGGGGATATGACGTCACCCTGTCTTACACCTCTCTGCAATTGGATAGGTTTCGTACTCTAGTTCTGTACTCGGATAGCCATTGTAGCCCTACTGTACAAGCACTTCAACACTTCGATATACCGACAGTCAACTTGGCACCGCTGAAGGGACTGCAGCACCGCCCAAATTTCGACGGAATCAAAGGCTTTCTCATAGTCCACATACGCCAG